GAATTAATGCCCTTCTGGCTCTCAGCACGTTGTGCCCTCTCTGTTACACCTCCTCTGCACTACCCCCTCATTGTCAGGTTCCTATTCTACGAACGTGAGTCATATTTCACTGAATATCTGTGTGTTGCTTTTCGCCTCCATTGTTGACTAGGAATGTCATTTTGTTTGTGGTTCGTCCTTGGACATGGACATGGTGGAAAAGAGAATTTACAGATGACCTAGTTGACATGTGCAAGCACTCATCCCTTCATCTGCCTTGTAACATGTCAAACAGGGTCTGAACAGTTAGACTATATAAAGACAGCAATCCACAGGACCTGTAGGCTGTACTAACACTACACTACAGCCACATACTGAGAACATTAGGCTAGGTTGAAGGCTTTGTGAAACATTGTTTTTAACTGTCAACATTGAGTCTGTGCCTACAGACTAGCAATAACCTATGTTGGTTTCCAAAGCACTTTTGTAAAGCACCCATGTTTGTAAATGGTTTATTTGAAGCAGTATATTTTGTATAAATCATGTACCATACAATCTTGCAATAATTATGGGATCACATATTATAAATCCATGTCTCAAATTGTAGTTTTAAGATTCTATTTTTCATTTATACATCCTGGTTTGTTATGAGTAACAACTCAAAACCTAGTCTCTTAATATTTTATTTTTGTGATCATATTACCCTGAAAGGCTTAATTTCAATCTGCTATTTAAAGGTAAACTCCAGTTCTGGTAAAAAAAGAAGATTAATTCTCACAGAATCAAACAAAACTTATACTGAATGTTCAAGATTACAAATAAATGACATGTGCCAAACAATTTTGGAAGAAAATGTATACTGGCTAAGTAATGAGCATAGAAAGACAAGGAAATCAAGGTAGTACTAGCCCCAACATCATGTGTGTTATAGCTTTCTGTGTACAATGCTTGTTACTTTACCAAGACTCGGCCAAATGTATTATGATTTCAATGACTCCAGAACCTTGCAGTGCACACCAATACTTACATGCTACATGATCAACTGTTTCTGATCCATTCCACACCTTTTCTTTTACAATGCATTCGCATTACCAGAACTGGAGTTTATCTTTAATATATAAAAACAAGAAATATTGATGATTTTTGCTTGCAGTGCAAATGCAGCTGGTGTTATATTTATGTCTCTTCCTATATTATAATTAAAAAGGTCTGCCAATATATTTCATCCCCTTCCCCCAGGCTAGAAGTTCTCCCATTTTCCAATTAAATCCCATCTTGGTTTGCTTTGGAAGTCGTCTCCTATCTCTCTTCATGTGAAGCCAAGCACATGGTTTCAGAGGATATGATGGTTATGACAAAAGAAAAGAGGTCTATTTATCTAAACATTGATGATTCCTGATTCCTGAGACAGTATAATAACATTGCCTCAGGTTGGTAAGCATATGTTCTAAAGGAATGCATTCAAGAGAGATAATGAAGTCTATCTCTTGTAAACCATGATAACATTATTGGATCTTAAATAAACTTTGAGCATGCTGAAGTTTACAGTGCAAAAACACATTTTCAGATTACAGGAGTTATTTTAGATTTAGTATATATTCCCTCAAGGTAATATTTATATATTCCATTGTTTCTTTTCACCAGAGCTCTTTTTGAGCTCTCCTGAGCTAAATAACTCTATTAATCTCAGATCCCAACCTCCCACATATTTCTTTCTTTGAGTAAAAAGTGTGCACATGCAGATCTTTCTTAAACTGCTTTCTAAAAAGTGTATTACAAAGTTTCAGGCAAAATTATTTTCACTTCAGCAGTTATAAAAGAATTTGTCTCCTTAGAGTTTTCTTTGTTTCCTGAGAAGGATGAGTAACGGCATCTTTCAGAGACCAGGACAACCGTTGACATCATAAAGTTTTCATGGAAGCAAGTAGCATCTGTTCAATAATAGCATGATATGAAGCAGTTTAACATTGAAGAATGCAGAAGTAATACCATTCTAAAACAAGAAGTGTCATAAGCAGGAGAATCTTTTCTACATATCGGTACATATCGAAAAATGTAGAGGTGTAAAACGGCTTTTTGATGATGGATCGCATCAGCTGGGCACTCAATCTTTGTCTTTCCCTATCTACAATCTTCCTAACCTACAGGCATGCACCTGAGACAAAATTTGTGCTGGGGCCAGAAGGACATTAACTCTGCATAAAGTATTTGAGTTAAAGCCCTTCTGGCTCCAAAAAGATGAAATGGTGATAGCCAGTGCATATCAGTCCCAATAGCCTGAACCGAGGAAGGTATCAGACAGTGATAATTTACCACAAGCGGTGCTTTGTTAAAACAACTGCATATTAAGAATAATATGCTTTTAGAAACATATTTCATTGTTTAATTGTCTCTACTGTCTAGTAAGATCTTTGTGTCTCTGTCTTTAAAAGTTTGGATCTATTTTTGAACCCCTTTACCCCCCCCTCCCCATTTAGCTATAGCCATTATCATAGATGTATGCATTTTACTTACAAGAGTTACATCATTCATGCAGCCCCTCAATGTGTTATTAACTCTTATTTCAAACAGTCATTAAATTAGTCTGAATTTGATTGTAAAAAAGAAAAGGAAAACAAGATAGAAATTACATCATGAGTCAATAAAATACCTAGGTGTGGGTGTGGTTCCAAGCTGATAATTACTTCTCTTTCTCTCTTAAATAAGAAATATCATCATTGCACCCAATTAAGAAACACAGCGATTTCGATGGCTACTAACATGGCTTCTGTAAAGCTATGGCCAGGGAAGAAGGAGGCAAATTATGCATGCGCCTACCAGTCGTCCGGCTGATGCGGTCTTTACTCATATGTAATGACGATGGAGGATGAGTCATCACATGCTGGTGGAGGAAGTAAGGCAACAGGGATCGCATCTCCCTGCATCAGGGATAGTAGCATCTCCTCGCATCATCTCTTAACTTTCATTTCCACTTTCATTATTCTTGTTTTCCTACCCAGGGCCTCTCTCTCTTCTTCTGTCTCAATGCACCCGCCTCGTTAGTTTCTACCCCTCACTCTATCTTATTCCCTTTGACAGTAATTTACTGATAATTTTATTTTCATGACTGCTTTGTCGTCAGCTTTTCACTCTGTGGCCCCATTTCGTCTCTCTTCGCCTTTGCTAATTTTTCTGCAATTTTCTTTGTCCCAACCTGAAATCTGGCTTCATTCCTTATGTTAACTTCTCTTTTCTTTGTTTGTTTCTTCTTCTTATTTTTGTTCCTTTTTTTTGGGGGGGGGGGGGTGGGCTGTAGATTGATCTCATTCTTATATCTTCTGCCACAAATAATTTCAATGCACTTTAGTACACTCCCTACTATTTAGGAAACTGCCTCTGTCTCTGGTTCTTTCTTTGTCTCTCTTATCCACCTCTAATCTTTCTTTCTATCAATCTGTCTTCCTGATAGTATACCCAATCTCTCTCTCTTTCTCTCTCTCTCTCTCTGTCTGTATGACCATCTCACTCTTTCTCTTTTTCTTCTCCTTTGTTTCTGCTTTTCTCTGTTTTTGTCTGTTTGTCTCTCTGTCTCTTTCTCTCTCTCTCACTTTGTCGTTTTTTTTTTTATACATGTTCATGTATATGTCTTAAAATCCTTCCCCTCCCGTCTCTCTCCATCTCCTTCTGCAGCATAATGCATCCAGCCATCTATTTAAAGTCTCCTCCTCCTCCTTCTCCTCTTCATCATCATCACTTCAACTACTGTCTTCGGTGATTTCACCTGCTCGCTTGATAAGCTCTTCTCCTCTCCCCTCCAGCGATATCCTTTAATTTGCTATTCAGCTTACCACCCATCAATACCCTCCTCCCTCCGTCCTCCCTCCGTCCTCCCTCCCTCCGTCCTCCTCTCCATCTCAACCACATCTGCACATCATCTATTCATGAGCACATCATCCTCTGTATGGATTTATTGCGCTCCAGATCCCTCTATAAAATATTAAACATGTTCAAAACCCTTTCTCTGGTTCGCATGTCTTTGCCCCTCCTGATACTGGAGAGATACAGGCTAGATCTATAACATAGGATGATGTTCTGAAAACCAGTTCATGTTCTCCAATGAGAAAAGTCAGTAATTAAATAGTTGATTGGTGTCTGAACATTAAAGGGATCCAGTAACTAGTCTCAGATACTGAAACAAAATCCTGAATTTAGCTCATGCTGCAATGATAATTATAAACCTTTAGGTCAGTCAGGAACTCCATGACTTTTGCAAGCCGATCACCTGTCTGATTATCAAGATATTTATGATTGGAATTACAAATTTTAAAAACCGTTTAGCAACAGTTTGCTTTACACTACAGTCTATTGGGGAAAACGAGTATGGGGAAAACGATTATGGTAAAACTGGTCACTCAAAGATTTTTACTCTTTTGAGGCACTTCTTGATCATTTTGAAGCGCAATTTTTTTAGGGCTTCAATATTACACCATATCACAGACACTGGTAACACGTAGGGCCGTGCATCTCAGATTTAATATTGTTAAACGTCGATGCCTTTAATGGTGGTGCAAACAAATGGTTCTCAGAGCCTCATGTATGAATGAATTCTACACCTTTGAAAATGGTTACTTTTTAGAGCTAGAAATATATTCCATTAAGGTGAGAAGAAAAAATATATATATGATAATGAACAAAAACAAGCAATATTTTATATCTGGGGTTATTCCTTCACATATTGTATCTGTTTATTTCTGCTCTCTGTATCAATAAGCTTATGTTGGTTGTCTTTTATAAGAACCAAAAATGATATTTGAAAACAATAATGACTGGAAAAGGAGCAACTTCTAAATTCAGAATCAATATTCATATTGTGAGCATTTGAGAAATGTGAGATTCCCCCATCCTTTTGATATATAATTCATCTATTTCAAATTTCATAACAGCATTTCTATGGACTTCACACAAAAAAGAGAAAAATTATTAGTAAAACAATTAACACATACAATATTTGATTAGGCAACATACAATTAAAATCAACTCACAGTTAGCTTGGCCATGGTTATGTTCATCACTGCTTATCTGTTAATCTCACTCTCAGTATATAAAATCCTTTGAAATGAGCTCTTGCAACTCCCGGAAGTAAAACCAGCGAGAGTTTCCACAAGTTCCGTCCACCAGCAAAATTCTAAATATATTCACAACAGAATCCTCTCAATCACAGGTTTCACAGAAGTGTTGCGTTGCCATGGCAATTAGTGCTGAAATTCGATAGCCGCCGTAATTTGATACTCGTAACACACCTAATGGTCTTGGATAAACTTTTCAGTTATTTATTTCTCTTCGTCTTACGTTTCACCATACACTGACAAATTAAGTTCCGTTTTATTATAACTAACACATACATGCAAGTTCCGTTTCATACATTTAATCTTTCGAGGACGTATCCTATTCCATCACATGTATGATATCAGCATCACAGTCTAATCATAAACATGTCAAGTACTGAAGGATGACAGAGATCTACCAGTCAGAGCTGTCCTGATGGCTACAAAGATAAACATAGAGGTCTCGACAGTTTGTATGTATGCGCTACACAAGAGCAATACCATCTTTAACACCATGTGCAGGAATCAATGAGGCTTAAAAATTGTTTTAAATCTCCACGAAAAGCTATGGCGAGATGAGTAATGTAACATTGAACCTTGCATTCCGATCCGTTGTGTCAAACATCACACATCATCAATTGGTTAACCAACACATTAATGGCTTCACAGGAACATCCTCAAAGCTGGTAGCAAAGGTATTGACGATCAAAGATTAGACCAGATTTGAACAAAAAGTGGGACACACGTCCTTATGAAGTCGACTCTGACACGAAAATAAGTGTCACCACAGATCATATGAAGGGGTAATAAACAAGCAAAGAAAAGACTGGAGTCACGCTGCATACGTCACTGAAGACCCCATTATGAGACAATTATCAGTCATCAGAGAATATGTCCTCTATACAACTTTCTTTCGGGGTGAAAAAGACGTCCCATTCTTTGGTCCAAGGTATTCTATTATTCAGACTCATTGGACGGTGTCTTCAAAAGCTTGCTCACTTCACCATATGTCTTTAACCCAATACAAAACAAAAAACTTCAACAACAACAATAAACTATGATATCTGAATAACCATTTCAAACTGTGCGCCCGTTACGCTTGCTTGCATAGACAGAAAGATGTTTAGATTGTTATCGCCTCTCTTTTAAAATTCATTTTCAAATCAATCGGTTTATTTGCACTTGATGAGTCACATGCCAAAGTTCAACTTTAGAAATTGTGGCAGTTTTATTCACCGTCTCTATCTTTTCTTTTTCTCTTTCTCTCTTTCTCTATTATTGATTTTTGTATTCCTTTCATGGTTCAATAAATAAATGTAGTTTATTCATGGTACTCCTACTCATTTCTTGAATTCTTGGTCAACTTTTCCCCCGAATGTTTCCTCTGTTTTCCAGTGCAACTATTTTTCTGTAGTATACAAAATATATCTTTCATGTGCCTCCATTCCCAAAACCTATTTTTCTGATCATATTTCTCTTTCTCCAGTATATATATATATATATATATATCTCTAAGACTGAATTATAAATCTATCGATCAATCTATCTATTAATCTATCTATCTTCTTTGTCCGTCTTTAATTCTTTCTATCTCTATCTTTCTGAATCTATCTCTGTATCTTTCTCATCATCTCTCTCATCAACATCTTTCTCTCTCCCTCTCCCTCTCTCTCCCTCTCTCTCTCTCTCTCTCCCTCTCTTTCTCTCTCTTATTTGTATCTATTTCTCTCCTCATAAATGCAAGGTGCTACTGGTTCATGACTGGGTGTCCCTTTTCACTCGTTTTGTGTCAACAGTTGCTTCTTTTGTGAGTTAATACCGTGTCCTTTTCAATGGCTCTGTCCATTCTTTCCTTCCCTCTCTTTGTACCTCTCATTGGTCTGGAGCACGGCTGGCTCGCTTCACTTCGGGGGTAGTAAACACATTGTCAGTTTCCTGACAGAAAAATCACCAAATTGGCAAAATAATGAAAGACCTGCGAAAAATCCAACTAGATTGGTTAAATGGATGGGCAGGATCGAGCATGGAATTCAATTGTGCTCCTAGTTGTCAAACGGGTTTTGGAATGTGTGTGATCGGAGAAGAAGCTTTTATGAATGACCCTTGACATTTGTCTTCCAACTAAAGGCATATAGTCCTTCTGTATTCATGAAAGAGGGTATAAGCCCCACTACTTAACTTTATTGAGATGAATAAAGGTAAATGGTTGAATAACCTGTATACAAATTTAGCTTCAGTTCATATGAGCTGGAAAGATCCGGATCAAGATATGTCTCTTGACTGTGAACTGCCTCTTTCATATTTGTAAACAAATATATATATATATAAATAATTCTCAGTATGGGTGCAAGGTGATAAGTAACACAAGTCTCCAACAATCATGATATTTTATAGAAATAATTTATAATTTGCTGTATTTCAAAAAATTCATAAGTAGTATCTTTTTAAATCAATAGTATAATTATTGTTGTCAGTTAGGCATGGACCTACTAATTCGACAACGAAGGGCCAAGAGTTACGTCAGACTGGACATAGAATCTTGGTATGGGCCTTTCTAAAAAGAAATGTACACAGTTATTGTTACATTTATGAGATCCGATCGAGGACTAGGCCTTAATTAATTGAACATAGATGCAATTTAGATTGAATTTCATTGTAATTCATTCATATGACATTCTGCACGAGGTCAATGAGAATGGAATAGTGGTGTTGTGTCGTCAGTGATATACTTATATAACCTGTAGAAGGATTGTCCTAATTACTATGCTCTATGAAACAGATTACAGATCTCAACTACTAAGAAATAACAAGGGCTTGCTTTATGCAAACTCTCCATGTACGAGGAAGCTGTATAAATGAGGATTGGGAGTGCATGCAACTACCTTACTCCATTCTAAGATGTTGTCAGTCATTGTGTAAATGTTAGGAATTCGGTCACTCTTTGTGAGCTTCTTCTATGTATTGAAGATGAGTCACTAAATGATGATTATATCTTGCCCCTCCCCCCTTACTTGCTTCTGGTTTGTTCTTCATTTTCTTTATTTTTCTGTTTGCTTCTGTCTTTTGATTTTGTTTTTCTTTACCTTTTCTCACTTTATTTTCCTTCCTCATTTCTGCTTTTCCTTACATTTTACATTATCATTTTGTATTTAAAGGAGCGTCACAACGTGACGGACATGTGCGCTATATAAGAAGCCACCATTATTATTATTATTATTATAAACCAGTTAAACAGGATTTGATTTTGATATTAAAAGCATAATCCATATCTGGCTAAGTATTTAACAGGTAAGATATTGAGGTATAATTATTCCTCCAAAACAAAACTATTTATGTTTCAACACCTGGTTTAATACATATTTTTTAAAATAAAAAACAGAGATCCTACACAGCTGTAATTAACCTTTCCAGAAATCACATATAATCTTGAACTTAAAGTAAAAATGGTCACCGAAGCATCCTAAAAACGTATTTATCACATAGGCCTGAAATGAAATCTTACGTTCATAGAGGTATGCCAAGTTGCCAACAATATTCCATGTCTCTCATGTCTGTCCAATCCGCCAATGTTTTCATTTGTGAGCCATGAATAGTCTGAGGGCAAGACCCTTTTCATCCAATATAACACTCTCATTTATTGTTTAACATTTATTTTTGTAATTATCACAGAGGGACAATAAACAAACTAATAAGAAGAGGGACGTATTATATCACTTTGCTTCTTCTTCAAAAACTTCTTCTTCAAGTTAGCACCTAATTTGTAAATATGACTGCAGGACCCTCAGGAAGCACAGTATTAATACTGATGAGGCTACCCTAGGTACACAAGACATATGATTATTATTTGTATTACTCTTAGAAACAATTTGTAAATACCAGCACAAATATCAGCACACAGTTTATCTCAAGGTTTCTCCTCTAAATTTACATGATTCAGTTTTGAAAAAGTTTAGATTTACAAGCCTACCTGTCTGGAAAGTCGTAGGTCTAGTGATTTTGATATCACCCATTTTTGATATGGCATTTCCTAACTAATTCCATCTTTCATCGTGCTGTGTGAAGTTTGTTTTGCTACTGCGTTAATTGGATCCCAGTGAAAGAACTGAGCTGCATTTACACTACAAGCTAAAATCATCTATATTTTCTCACATTCTGGTGTTTTGTCAGTTGGCAAACAAAACAAAATACTAATATAACCAATTATTAATTAGTATTATATGCTATGCAACTACCGACGAAACACCAAAATGTGAGAATCTTCAATGATTTTTGTTTGCAGTGTAAATGTAGCTTTTATACCAGTTTTGTATAAATTTCTTCTAGTCTGAGCAGGGCTATGAGTCGGGATAGCACACAGGAATATGTTACAATTATATCAAGTATATTAAACTGTGCTCATAAGGTTTCAGACTGTATTTTTTATGAGAATATAAATTTTGATGTTATCATAATTAAAAGAGATTAAATCAACATCCTTACAGAATGAGACTAGCAAAGTCGTATGGTATTCAACAAGAGTTGAATCAATAGATTTGTAATACTATTTGTAATAATAGTAGATATCAGTCGTGAGAAGCAGTACTAAGTTAAAGTATTTCTCTGGGTTTTTTTTCTTCTCCAAATAACAAAATTATTGGTCTACGACTCTACGTGTATCTGTGAAATATAATACAAAAACATAATATTACTGAAATGCATTGTCAATCAACAACAACATCACTATCTTCATCATCATCACCATCATCACCATCATCATTATCACCACCATCATCATCATCGTTGTCGTCATCATCACCATCATCCTCATCATCATCACCCTCATCACCAACACCATCATCATCATCATCATCATCATCCTCATTGCTGTCGTCGTCTTTATCATCATCCTCATCCTCATCATCCTCATCATCATCATGCGATCATGTTCAGATCTTGTTTTTCTTTCTAATAACTCTCTAGTACCAATAAAGCCTAAATGGCCTGGACTTACGGATAGTTTGGATGTCTGGGTAACGTCAGGAGTCATCTGTACCGGACCGCTAGGAGCGCTCTTCCGTCTCTTACGATTATCACCGCCATCATGGCTGATGTCTGGACAAAGAAAGTGAAAGAAAGAAACAAATTATTTTTCAAATTTGAATGAGGTTTTAAGGAACGAGACGGATGAAAGCAACTGCAAGTTACTGTAACAGAAGAATCTTTTGCATTCATGCTTTCCATATATTTGCAAAAGTTTGATTCCGCAAAATAATTAATGGAATCATAACTCCGCAGTTTTGCAATCCATGAAAGTTGATAGACTTTAAGATGGCTATCCTTCACAATATTATGAAAGTACGATCATGACGCGAGAGTATACGTAGCTGGTTTGAAGATGAATGTGAGCACTGCATTCAACACATTAACACAGTATTGCCAAGGCAAGGTGCTACATAAGAAAACGTAATTGGAGAGGGGGAGACCGAAGCAGTATATCCGGGCTTGATACAAACACAGAACATATACAGGGTAATTCAACATTTCTCTGGATATTTATTGACAATGAACATTTTAAAACCCAGTTTTGAGTAATATGATCTTTGATAAAACTGATTGATGGACATTCCTAAACAACTCTGGCATCCAGCTTAGAAGTTTGCTATCTGCCATATATCACATGATATCGAGGCATTTGCTTCCAATGCTATTTGTTCTAATCCTTGATTCCCACCTTCATTATGCATGCATGTTTCAAAGAAGTAGTTAACCCAAAGTTCAAGAAAAGAGAAGAATTATTACACCAATGATTAGACTTGGCATCTGACAGTGTTGCAAAATTGACAGTACAATAACTTATGATCTGTTATGTACAGTGGTGTTAGCAATACAGGTTTGAAGAAATGTTTTATTATGATCAACGATTAAAAACTTGCCATCCATATTATGTATGTTAGCATATGATAAATAGTTTATGTGCAAAACTGAAACTGCCACTTCACAAGACAGTGTTCTCATGTAACAGACTGGTTTCATATCCATTCTCTCTCACTGAGCTGTTAAATAGTCTCATGAAAATTGCAACCTGATATTTGGGCCTGGTATAATTGATGGCATTATGCAGGTACTATAATGAACATTGTATGGAACTATCAGGAATAAAGTAACACAAAATTTAAAACAATATGAAGGATAAGAAAATTAAAGATGAGTGCTCATAGTACATACATCAACTAACCAGTATGTCAAATGATGTAATGTATCTACATTATACTGACAAAAATGAGACAACTTCTAATCAAACGTACAGTAGGTAGGTAATTGGCAAAGGCCCCTATAAAACTGAAAAAGAGCTAATTGATCCTAACTAAAAGAAAGAACAGAAGAGAATTGCTTTCAATACACAGACAAAGCTACAGTATACAACAATGACATCCATGGACACAAAATACAGACCTCTGTGAATGTTCAAAACTACAATGCATTAGAAAATCCAATTG